TGGTGGCCAGGAGCAGGGAAGGCAGCCGACTCCATTGTGTGGGGCTTTCCCCCTATGGCGCGCAAGTCCCGGGAGCTGCATGTGAGCCCCATGCAGTTAAGACAGGCTGGCCTGCCTCCACCTCTTACCACCACATGGAGCTCCCAGGTTGGAGCCACAAGCTGCCCAGTGGCTGTGCCTGCATGGGCCATGTGCACACCAAGGGCCTGCCACCTGCTGCTGCTGGTGGCAGGGGCTGTGCACTATGGGTGGGGAAATGTAGGGGGGTCTCCACACCTGTCCACCTTCCCTCACACCCCACCGAAACCCAGCCTACCTGAACTCTGTACTCCTGCCACTCCACTGGATATGGACCCTGGGCTTCTTGCTCCCATCAGCCCCAGCCCATTCTCCACACTGCTGCTCAGCTGCAGCTTCTCTACATGCTGCTTGGAGTGAGCACTGCAGCAGAGACATGAGGAGGAGCTGCTGGAGGTTGGGGAAGTCAGCTGGTCCCTTGGCAGCTGCAACAGTGACAGTAGCAGCAGCAGCAGTCCCACCCAGAAACTGTGCGCTGGCCAGGGTTGGGGCTGGGCCCGGACCCTCCTGTGCAGGAGGGTGGGAGTAAAGCATGCTGGCTGGGTGGGGTACAGTTAATTGGTGGGTGTCCATGGGCCAGATGAAATTTCCTAGAGGGCTGGATCCGGCCCGCAGGCCATATTTTGCCCACCCCGATCTAGCATGTGCCAGCAGTTCCATTCTATCTTGCTGTAGCTAACATAGGTGTCAGTGGCAGTGAGGAAGTGATATTGCAGGCTTTAGTATAAGACAACAACCAGACTACCAGCCCTCTAGAGTCCCTAGAAAGCTTGTACCCTGGTTGCTAACTCATGCTGAAACCCATGTTGCCAGGTCTTCATGACTATTTTTATTTGTGCTAGCTATAGCAAGCGAATACAGGCACACTGTGTTGTCATAGGTAAGCAACTTGCCCAAAGTCTTGGATCTACCCAAAGAGCTCAGCAGTATCAATGTCTCTATGCGGTGCCTTCCCCCAAGGCACAATGGCACATGTCATTAGTATCTCCGTGATACAGCAGTGTTTTCAACCAGTGAGCTATGACCTCCAGAGGATGGGACAAAGGGAAAGCCATTTATTGGACCAGTTGTATCGTTGGGGAAGATGTTAGGCACAGAATACTCTTTCCCAGGTCTGGGGAAGAAGCAGCCTAATCTAATTATCTTCATGATTTTTACAGGAATTGCTTCTATTTTCCTAGAAAGGGTGGTGGGTGGAGGGGTGTAAATATTTGTATATGGTTTTTTGGTCTTGATTTTTTTAATCCTCAGACTGTGAGTAATATCGTAGAAAACAGTCGGGCTATGTTACAGAGCAAATATAGCAGAGGAAGAAAGTATTAGTGGTTTGTTTTTTTTTCAACATAGTTCCCTTCAAAATTAAATTTTTAACAAGAAAAATTGACTGGATCTGAGGGCGCACAACATGATTACTATGGAGTTACTTGCCCCAAATTTTACTCCATAGTAAATTTACTTTGTGGTGAGAAGCAGACGTGAACAGGTCTTCCCAAGCTGGCTGTCTGCAGTTGTTCAGGCTGAGCAGACAGGTATCTCGGGGTGAAACTAAGTAAGTGCAAACACCCACACACACTACACACATTTGGGCCCCTCACTATAGATGGGATGTGGACAAGTTGGAGAGAGTCTAGCAGAGGGTGACAAAAAATGGTTAGGGGGCTGGGGCACATGACTTCAGAGGAGATGATGAGGGAACTGGGATGCTGAGGGAACTGAAAGGGGGTTCCAAAGAGGATGGAGCTAGACTGGTCTCAGTGGTGGCAGATGACAGAACAAGGAGCAGTGGTCTCAAGTTGCATCAAGGGAGGTTTAGGTTGGATATTAGGAAAAAAATCTCACTAGAAACATGGTGAAGCACTAGAACAGGTTACCCAGAGAGGTGGTGGAATCTCCATCCTTGGAGGTTTTTACAGCCCGGCTTGACAAAGCCCTGGCTAGAATCATCTAGTTAGGGATGGCCCTGCTTTGAGCAGCAGATTGGACTAGATCAGCATTTCTCAACCTGTGGATCACAAGAATATATGAAAGGGTTGCAAACAAACTTAAAAAATGGATTCTCCTTTAAAGGAGAAAAATGTGGGAAACTGTGGGTCTTCCCTTGCAGGCTGGTAGAGTTCCAGTCTGCAAGGGGCTGCTTGGGAGACCCCCGCCCCATCCCTGCCCCCCACACATCCACCCCCTACCCCACACTGGGAGGCTGGGCCTTAGGGCTGGGGACAGCAGGTCTGGAGTGAGGGGCACTGGGTTGGGACTGGCCGTTGATGTTTACAAATGGGTCCTGGTACAACAACAGGTTAAGAACCACTGGACTAGATGACCTCCTGAAGTCCCTCCAGCCCTCATTTTCTGTGATTCTATGACATTCTTCCTACTAACTTCTAGGGGTGCACCAATAGAGAATTTTTTGGCCGATACTAATGGCCGATTTTTAATGAGCCATATTGGCTGATACTGATCCGATTCTGATATGCAGCCCCTCAGTGTGGAGAGTGGTGTCTGGCTAGTAAGTCTGTTGTGGGGGAAGAGAAGGGGCAAGGGGGAGCAAGTTGAAGCCCCTGTGGTGAGGGAGGGAGTGGGGCTGGGGTTGGGGCAGGGGCAGGGCACTGGACGGAGCCGCGGCTTGTTCAGGGCTTGCAAGGCAGGGGGAGGCTCAAACTGCTGCGTGTACACTGAGAGGGCATGTGTCCCCAGATCTGCGTGCAGGGCCGGGTGGCTGCAGCTGCAGGCTGGGGCCAGGACTGTGCTGAGCTCTTCCTGGCAGGGGCTGGGGTGGGTGGCAACACTGGGAGCGGGACTATGGCGAATTTTAGGGTGGCTGCAGGCCCCCCAACTCCCACTCCAGCAGTGCTGCCGCCGCCTGCCCCAAGTGCAGCCCGGTCCAGGTCCCCGTCAGGAAGAGTCTTATGCAGCCCAGCCTGCAGCCATGGCCCGCCCCACCCTGCGCACCGAGCCAGGGGCATACTCCCCCCTCCCCCTGTGGGGGAGCTTCCCCTCCCTCCCCTGCACCCATCGGACAAGCTGTGCCTCTGTCCCACACCCTGCCTCAACTGTGCAGCGCCTGCACCTGCCTCTGCCCCAGCCCCACTCCCACTCTCTCCCTCACTGCAGGGGCCTCAATCTGTACCTCCCTCTCCTCTTGCCCCTTCCCTCACAAAAGACTTTTAGCTGGACCTGGCTGTCCTCCACGCTGCTGGGCTGTGCTCCTGGCTGCATGCGTGCTGCGGCTGGATGCGTGCATGCAGCATTTATTAGCCATATTATCAGCCACGTCAAAAAAATAAAAAAGCCAGTTGCTGATGCTCTCAATATTCTTCATGTCAGTGCCAATCCAATATGGGACCGAAGTATCGGTGTACCTGTAACTTTCTCAAATAGTAAAAGTGCTGCATGTTGTATCTTTGGATTTGAGCGAGTTAGTTCATAGTGCATCATGTATCCACACCACTTTTCTTAATTAGTAAAATCTTTGTACCATGAATTAAATCTATTGTGTTTCTGTATTCTGAAACAGGAAGCTTAGTTTTATATGACATCTTTCATGCTCAAGAGGTCACATTTCTACATGTTGTAATTTGGGTAGGTTCTGTTGATCTCAGTGGAGTTGCACCAATTTATATCTCTTGAGGGGCTTTCCTATTCAGGTATTGCAGTATACAAAAGTGAAAAAAAAGGATCTTCAGTGCTAAGGAGTGAGTTAGTGTTTGGACCACAGAAGCAACTTTGCATTCAGAAAGCGTTCACATACAGCTCTGTACATGGGAGCCTGTTTTTATATTGATGAATTGCTGCCTTGGCTTTCGCCTCATCCTCTAATCGTTTCAAGGGTCCTGTACATCATGTATACAAACTAGCACCAGAGCTGGGCAGGGAGCCTCAACTGAGCACTTCAGTCAGAGGAGAAATGTTTCTAAATTTATAAACTCATTGAAAATCAAAAGTAAACTTAACAAGGATTGACTCTAAGGTTAACTGTTAGATGGGTTATGAAGTAATTACTGCTTTGACATTTGTCTTTAGTAACAGTCTGTGGTTCTCACCACCATTTGCTCGTGGCTTTGTTAGAAAATTCTTGGGGCCTTGGCAGTTGTTATGCCTCGGGCATGTTAGCTAGCCTTAAAATTCTGTCATGCGAGGCTTTGAGCAGTAAAACGCATGCAGTGCCATTATAGTGTAGCAGAATTAGGACTTTTTCCAGTGGAGAGCATCTCCAGTGCATATTACCTATCGCATATAAAGCTAGTGTCCAACTGCTCCACAAGGGTAATAACTTTAGTGTGTTGTGACGGGCTAGGACTATCAGCTGTTAGTCAGTCCCAGCTCCTGCAGCACACCTGAATCTTCAACAGCTCTGGCACTTGCAAAGTCTTTTTAGGTCATAGTAAGCATTACTGTGAGACTGCTCAAAAATGTCTAACTCCTAGTAATGCAAAGTGTGATCTACATCAGGGGTAGGAGACCCCCAGCATAGGTGCCAGAGCATGGCATGCAAGGGCATTTTGCTTGGCATGCGCGCCATGGGGTGGATGGTGGGCCATAACTGCACTGCCACGACAAGGGTCAGGCCTCTTGTGGCTCCCCTGCCATCTTCCCCTGGCACACCAACATCTTACAAGTAGAGGTTGCAGGGGTTTTTGGCACTCTGCCGAAAAATGTTCCTGACCCCTGATTTAAATGAAACACATCCTAAGTGTGATGTGTTACAAGGCCCACACTTGCAAAAAATGAGCAGGTTGGGGAAATACGTGCTTTTAACATTAATAGTCCAGGAAGCAGCTGGCAAGCCATGTGGGCATCTGTGATGGAGCAGTCCCAGCAAAGTTCTGAATGAATTCTTCTCAGTAAAAGAATCTGACATTCACAGCAGTGATTTTTTTGTAAACATTATTTCAGCACTAAAGTCCCTTTACTTTGCTTCATTGCAGTTGCCCTGAAGAATCACAGCTCCAAAGGGGAAACTGAAAGGAATGGAGGCCACGACAACGGACGGACTCTGGGACTGGCTGACAGAATCGTGCCAGAGGGTGAACTTCTCTTACAGGTTAATGCTTCAGGCATCCTCTCTCTCTCTTGTCAAGTCTGTCTGCAAGGCTTTTTAAAGAGCCTTTCTCCTCCTCTCCTTTTTTGACTCCTATGGGTTCAGTCCACCAGTAGGCCTCTGCGTTGTCAATTGAAGAGCAGTTGGTTAAATGTATGACTGCTGGAAGAAAGGACAATCAGTAAGCTCCTATTTAATGTTTCATGTTTTAATGTATTAGTAAACAGATGGGACTTGATTTATTTTTTTTCACTACCTTATACCCGCTTTGAATCCTTACAGTGAGCTTCTGGTGCCTCGCTCCTTGCATAACTGGCCTTTTGTTGACCATTCATGATCCAGTTCTCCTAGGTTTTGAGATCAGTATAAAAATGCTGTTGATTGCTGTAGAAACCAACTGGAACTTTGCAAGGTAGCCAGTATATACATGTACACGTTTGGGATTAGGGAGGAATTATTCTGTCAGGTCAGACCATGGGGCTTTGCTATCCTCTTCTTAGGATCATCAGAGCTATTAATCTAATAATTCTCAGGTACAATTCAGCAGCAGGATGGTGGTGATGCCCTTGTCTTCTCTGTTTCCTACCTATGTAAGATGTTTTAAGTTTCAACTCCTTGTGGAAACAGATGTAAATGTGTGGTGTGTTCAGACCCATAGAGATGCTACCTTGATGCAAATAATAACAGGAAGAAGAAATCTCTTCTCACTTTAGTACAGACCCCGTGTACTAATATGACAAATAAATAATATTCATATTAGCTCTACACACAAAGTACTGGCCAACGTTTTTTCTGTTCCAATTCCTACAAAATTCACTACTGATTCTTCTTTAAATACATATCATAATTTCTCCTTTAACATATTAGTAATAACTCCCTGCCCGAGTGCAGGAGGGCTGGACCCAGTGACCTGTAAGGTCCCTTCCAGCCCCTAACAACTATGACACTCTATGTTGAAGAAAGCTTAAAAAAAAATGTGGAAGCAAAATCACTCTGTCTCTCTTTATGGAAGGTGAGGGAATTCTCTTTGCTGTTCATTACTACAGGCATTTATGCCTGCTTCTATATCTCTGACAAAAATTTAAATGGAAAATTAAAAATTCTGTGTTTTTAAACACCATCCACTTCGGAGAAGTATCAAAGGGAAACAGGATTGAGACTGCTGGCCTGTTAAGTTGTTAAAATAAAACTTACTTTTTTGGTGTGATCAAATGTACTGAATTCAGAATTCTCCTTGGATGTCTCTGAGTCATGCCTTCCATGCTCTGATGAGTAGAAAAATCTTACTTCTATTGTGAGGTGTTCCTGTTGCAGTGAGATCACGTGAAGTGGATACAGATGGGGCATCCAGACCATCTTAACTCTGCCCTATAGTGACCTCAGGAGTAAATCCACAAAAAGGGAGAGTCTTTAGAAAGCAAATTCACCTGACTTGTGGTAATAAGAAGTAAAAAGCCTTCATCATATAGTTAATGGGTGGTATCACCAAGGTAAAGAAAAAAGTTTTAGGTGATCTACTTGTACATTTTTACACAGTAATGTGTTTGAATTGTTTTTTGACTAACTTCTAATTTTCATAATGCATCTGCATGGTTTTGCAGTAAACTAGCGTCTCAGTATCTTTGAAATAAAAACACTTTTATTTTTAAACTTTATTTTAAATGATTATGCAACATATAGGTTTAAAAATTCAAACACCCCTCTTTTGAAAGGGTTAAAAGGTTCAAATTTGTTTAAGAACTTAGGGCATCTATATATGTGCTCCAAGATGGAGGGGAGGGGGAACCTGGTGACCGTCTATAAACTCACTAGGGGG